AAAGGAACACTAAATATTTATTGGTTTTTTTATGAAACTTACTGATTTTAGTAAACAATCATCAATTCTAATTTATTTGCAGGATTAAACTCAATAAATTATAAAGGATACGTTCTGCTAAACGTTTGAGAAGTTGTATTAGTACTAAAAGGGTTTTAATGTATAAATTCAAGAAAGTAAATGTAAAAGTATTTAAATGGATAAAACAAATGAAGAAATGTGTAATAATAAAGCAATTGAATGAAAATATTTGAATTAAGAGTGAGACGCAAGTTCATATATTTTTCAAAATTTCTTTATCTTTGTGATTTGGATGTGTGAATTTTAAAGAAAGAAAAATAAAATGTGAACCCTCATTACAAGATCAAAATCTACTTATGTACTAGGTACATCAATAATTGTCATCTCTCCAAAATTCGACATGTATCTTGTTATATGAATTTTTGTCTTCTGATTTATTTTCATGTGTCTTAGGTTTTTTTTAACTGCTTCAAACCATTAATGTTGTCGAAAATATCCTCAAGTTACCTCATCATATTTGTCGAAAAGTTCACTTGTGGAATTTGAGAAAAAGTCTATTAGGTGTCGAAAATATTACTTAGTTATCCGCACTTAACATTTATATACATATCATATCTCATATTCATGTCACAATGTTGAGCAAAATGTCAGGCTAACAGATACCCTTAAAAAATGACATTTTCGATCATATTTTGCAATATGACAGAAAAGTGGCATTTTTTAAGTAAACTTGCAATACTATTCAATCCATTACGCACGCGTCATTGTCATTATGACTATCTCTACCCAATTATCATGTCTGCAAGGTCCATGTACCCGTCATCATGAATCTGATTTCCAAGGTCATCACGGACCACTAAAATTAACCATATTAAATACAAGAAAAATCATTAATTAGTAAGACTCATGCATTCCTAGATTCTTTACCCAGACCATATGTGAAGCCTAATAAACTAGAAAGTTTCTTTCCTTGTTTACCTTATTGTAAACCTCGTGTCTTTGAGGATAAAATCTTTGAGTTAGGGTTCATGGAACAACCTCATCATGTATTTCGTTCTTATCCTTCTACCAACAGAAAATAAGAAAGGAAATGTCTTGCTAAATCAAGGCATCTTTGACTTGATTCAATTGTCAAGAAATGGACCAAGGTATAATGCTAATATGCTTGTATCTACCCCGCTCTCAAGAACAAGATCAAACCTATTTTTTCCTTTGACCACCCTAGTTATTATGCCTACATTAAAGACCACCACGACTAAATTGAGGAAGTCTTTGACTACGATCATATTGCCTTCCTCACCCTCTGGTTATCTCATTTCATTTTTTGTTATAGTTCTCTCCAAGTTGCCAAGAATTTCATACCTCTAGCAACCCAGCTTCACGAGGGTAAAATGTTTGTCTCAGCAAAATGATCCTGGGTTGATGCAGTCGGAAACCCTAGGGATTAACAAGCGCTAACCCTAGAATAAAAACACAAGATTATAAGCGCAAAACCTGTCAAATAAGCTCTGGAATCTACCAGAAAGAGAAAAGAAATCCCTGAATTTTATTATAATGAAAGATAATACTTATGACCACGGCAAATGTTTTTAAATACATAAAATAAAATAACCCTAATGGGCTTAAAGAGACCGTAATGGGCTTTTAATCTAAAACAAAATCAAATCTTTTAATCTAAAACAAAATCAAATCTTTTAATCTAAAACGAAATCTAGTCTTACCGGTTGATCAGAACCTACAAGGTGGCCGGATGATGATCTTCAGAGGAGATGGAATGTCGAGGAGGAAAAAGGGGAGTTGTCCTCCTCGATTATGCATATTCTGAAGTGGGATGTCCCCAGTAAGGTTGATATGTTTGACCAATTAGAATAGATTTGTGATCCCCAGAAAGGCATATTGCAAGTTGGTTATCCTCGGTGAAATATCCCATCCTCAGTGAGGTATGCCCTGGATTGGTACTCCTTTTGGGAATTCACGATGAG